GAAAAAGAAGAACGATAATCAGGTGACGCAAAGAAAAATTATTATTTAAACGAGGAAATAGTATACGAAACGTATTCATGTTCGTTTAGTCCTTTTAATCAATTGGACGATATACTTCAATCTATTCCGAAGGAAATAAATTAATTCTTCCTTTGTACATTTATACAAGTGGCACGTAATCATCGGTGCCTGTCACCTTGTCCAGGAAATACACTATTTTCTGTCTTTCAGACCCCAGTGATACTTTGTAACCAAGGTTTGAAATATGTTGTCCTCATGTATACACCTGGAAGATAAGGTGCAGCACATGTTATTCCATGCGATACCGTGCCTACTAAGAACCATCTTCCGTCTGGTCGTTGCATTACTAATGGACCGCCACTGTCACCCTGTACAATTAAACAAAAATAAGATAACGAATAATTCTCAAATTCACGAGAGGAAAAGAAATGAAAATACCTCGCAAGAATCTTTTTGTCCATTGGCATAACCCGCGCAGAGGAAGCTGTCGAGAATTAATTTAGAATGTCCAGCCGTCTGGAACATTTCTTGACATACAGAATTCTTAATTATAGGCACTTGAACTTCTTGTAGAACAGAAGGTACACCACCGTCTGCGAATTAATATTATTTATAGGAACGTCGCTTAAAAATGAAGTACAATACGAAGAAAAGTGATACTGACTATATTTCAATCGTCCCCAGCCAGTCACAGTAGCCATTCTACCAGTGAAATCTATACCATCATCGGGCATACAAATTGGGATGATATGAACGTCAAATTGTACCGGTGACTCCAGTTCCAATAGAGCCAGATCACTCTCGAACGTAGTTGGATTGTAACCCCTGTTGACGATTACTCGGCGAACATTCCTCGTCATGCTTCGCTTTGCTTCCAATTCACCAGACAAATCGAATTCTCCAAAAACGGCGACCAAAGTTGCCAAAAATCTGACGACAATCATTTATCAGGATGATACAAATGGTGCTTCGTTCAAGAAATATTGAAAAATATCGAGTCACTTACCCTGGTTGACAGTGGGCAGCAGTGATGACGTACTTGTCTGTAATAAGAACACCGCCACATTTATTTTTGGTAAAGAGACCCAACCAAGTGGCCTCTCGAACTAAAACTTGCCACGGCCATTCGCCGAAAGTCGCCGCTTTACCACCGACGATTCTCCCAGATTTGACCAAAGGTCTTATCCCACATTCTGTGAAATTCCGTACGGATCAGTGAGAAAGAACTATCCACGATCGAAGTCAATCGCGAAAGAACTTACGAGAACGAAAGTCGTTCGATGAAGCGACCTGGGGACTCGTGGTAGTTTCGACTGCGCCGGAAGTACTAATCTCTTCCTCTACGAATGCCACTTCCGTACTCGTTGCCAACGTTGTAGCGGGCCTCTTGGTTGGCCTCGGACGTTTCGTTGTAATCTGGGGTTTCTTCGTGGTCGCACTAAACACGGTGGTTGGTTTCGGTTTCAGGGTAGTCGGTTTCGAAGGACGAGCTGGTTTCTCGGATGATATCGAAGGTTTCAAAGTAGTCGGGCGATTGATCGACGGCCTCTTGGTGGTCGCCGGTTTCTTCGTCGTGACGTACGAAGGTTTGGTCGTGGTGATTGGCTTTCGCGATGGCTTCTTCGTGGTGGTGACAGGCCTCTTCGTAGGCGGTGGAGCCGATGTCGCGTTGACGCGGTTGTACACGATGTCCTTCAGATCCTAAAGCAAAGTTATTATGACTTGACTGTTGGAATGAAAAATTGAGCGAGCGATTACCTGGAAGTTGTCTTGCAACGATTGCATGATCTTGTTCACGAACGTGTCCACTTTGTTGGTGAGTACGTCGTCCTCGATGAAGGTTGGTGTTGGAATATCGTTTTCACTTAATATCTCGATGTCTGGATAACCCGTGTTGTTGAAGGTTTCGACGATGGTTGGCTTTTCCTGTTGCGAGATCGGAATCGAAATATTGAGATTCGGATTTCGAACTGGGGGGAAATTGATCAGATCGTCGGGTGCAGCTGTCTCTTCGTCGCAGTGTGGCAGAGCGGTGGTTGGTCTGGGATACATCTCGGTCGAAACGATAGGATCTTTGAACACGACTGTGTGAACAGGCTCTCCTACGTTCTCCTCGTCGGTGAAAACTATGCTCGGAGGAGTGGATGGTCTCGGATGGAAGCTCGGTTTGTTGGACCACGTAGAAAAGGTAGTCCAAATCGTGGGTCGTTTCGTCGACAGCCTCTCCGAATTTGTCTCGGCTTCGGTCTGGGAGGTTGTAGATTTCGTATTATAACTGCTGTCCACCATTGGCTCAGAGGTAGTGCCATCTTTCACGTTCACGCTGAAGAAACTGGTCGAGACCACGTTGTTGGTGGCGACATTCGAGATAACTGTGCTGATGTTGTGAGTTATAGTTGTGGAAACACCGGGCTTTTTCGTGGTAAGGGGACCCGGTCTCGTCGATTCGATCGCGGGCCTGAAAATCGTGGTGGATCCAACGCTCTCCGCCACCGGCTTCCTCGTCACCGTTTTCTGGGTCGTCTCCGTGGTGAATTCCGTGCCTAAGGGTCCTAGGACAATGACTGTCGGCGCGGGTGGATTCGTCGTGGTTACTTTCACGGAATAATCGGAAGTCGGGACGCTGGTGAAAACCGATTGAGTGGACGGCCTCGAGGAATACGCGTTGGAGGTCGAATACGAAGCGTGAGTTGTATCCGCCGTTTCGTAGCTGTAATAATTTGACGATTGTCCCGGTTTATAGAAGGTGTAAGGGAAAGATTCGGCGGTGGTGGGTTGGGGAACGAAGGGGGATTTCGTGGAGATTCGAACCAACGACGGTTTCGAAGTTTCGTCGATGCTGACCCATTTATTAATAGACGAATTCGGTGTTTGAATCGTTGTACCCGTACCCGGTTTCGTGTCGTTCAGAATGGAGATTATGTGATTAATCGCTATTTCCTCCTTATCTATCATATCGTCCTTTTTATTGCCAGACGGTGCATCGTAAGTAATCGTCGGTACTCTCACTAATTCGTTCTTTTTGTCGGCTAGAACTGTCATCGGTGTAGTGGTTATTTTATTGATCGGTTCATCAGCCTCCACGTCCTTGATCGATACCCTTTCTTTCAGCGTGCTCACCTTTTCGAAGTTATCGATCGCCGTCTCCTGAGGGAGGGAAGCGGTCGTGAGCCTTTGCGTGTTGGCGTACAATTGGGTGACCGGCAATTTCGTCATCGACGACGTGCCCAACGTTTGATCGCCCGTGGATGCGTGCACCTCGTGCATGGAAGACGGAGATTGATCGGAGAATTTAATCCACTGCGTGGTCGATGCACCGATGTGATGAGTGGTGTCGTGCAAAGGCCTCTTAATTTCCGTATACGACACACTTTCGGTCACTCTCGGCCTCTGAGTGGTGCTCAAAGTTTCCGTCACTTTCTTCTCCTCCACGGTCGACTCGACCGCGTTAGGTTTGAACAAATCGTCGGGATTGTTTGTCTCGTTTAACATGGTTCCGTTCTCGTTCAACAATATCGTGTCGGGCGAGGTGTGATTGAGGTTTTGGCCCAACCCTTGGGAAAACAGGGCCGGAAGTTGGTCGACCGGATCGGCTATCTGAAGTATCTGATCCGGGCTTAGTAACGTGGTAACCGGATTAATAACAGGATTGTTCTGGTGATTCTGTATTTTGTTGTTATTCGAGCCGGAATGAGTCAACAATCCCGGAAGACCCAGATCGTCCAAGATGTTCTGCTGACCCAGCAGAGCCGGAAAATCTTCTTCGAGATGGGTTACGTCTGGTTGCGCGGGTAATTGCGGTTTCTCCGCGTTTTCAACGCTATCTTGGATCTGCACTCCGGATATCGATTTCGTGGTGGTCGAAGGGGCGTCGAACGTTGAAATTTTAGTGTACGTGATTCCTTGATTTTTCTCCATTTGAGTGGACGCGTGATGAATATCCATCTTGACGGTGTTGGTGTCCTGGGACACCGTCATCCCGAGCGGCGTCCCGTCCGAATTTAACAAGATTGGAATATCCGGGACGTGATCGATTTCGTGCACGTTGAATATTTCATCGGTGCCCGGAACCGTGTCCTCCACGTTGCCTCCGGTCAAAGTTTTCGACGGCAGTTGGCAGCATGCGCCAAAAAGGAAACCGTCCATACAAGCGCCGACCACTTGTCCATTTCGTCGCGAGCATTCGTAATTGAACATGCATATCGCTGGCTCGTTTGGCCTCACCCGGGATGGCATCGTCGGTTGACACGCTTTCGGCACTATTCTATACCCGCCGAACAATCTCCTACCTGTACGAACAAATTAATCGTTAATCGTAATTCTATTTCGATTTTTCTTTTTCTCGCGCGATAGCGGTTCGCGAAAACAGGGCGAGATTTTATTATTCCAATCGTCGTGCTTCGTGCTGCCGCAATTAGTCGCCGAGCCTACAACGGTTCACGATAAACGAGGTGAAAACGAAACTAACTCGACTCGTTTGGTATTCGGAATTTAATCGTACAGACATGCAAATCAGGGGAACGACTTGTCTCAAATTGTTGCGTTCCAATTTTTACGGGCCGTTGTTGAATTTGAATTTTTTACATTTGTCGCAAATTAATTTTGTTTCGTTTCGTTTTTCTTTCTTTTCTTTCTTTCTTTTCTTTAGGTAAATCCGAAGTACATTCCAATTTTAATAATGGAAATTCGTGGAATAGGAAAGTTTACGATTCGACAGATAAGAATTACAGTTTTAAAGCATCTCTTTATATGCGTTTATATTTGTAAAAGTTAGTATTTAGTGTGATCGGTTATGCTCAGGTGACTAAGCCATAGGCGAGCAAGCATGTAGGCTTTGCACGTGCCTCCTTATATGCCTGCATACCGTCAATATAATGACCTACTCCGTGAATCGTCCGAGTAGAGCTTGTCAGGATTCTTCCAGCGTTCCAGATTTTTCTTTTCTTTTCTTTTTTTTTTTTTTTTTTTTCTTCTCTCCTTTATTTTATTTTATTTCGTTCACGGACTTTCGTTTCGCTCGTCGAACTGTGTCACGCGTCGAGCGATGCGAACGCGAATATTTTTCAAATCTATCTTATCAATCATCGTTAGATTCATCTTTCTTATTTATTTATTCGGAATATTGAAGCGTTATACGTGGTTATTTTTATCCACGAGAGAATAAGTTGCAATTAATTAAGCTCAATTGAGGTTGAATAATCCGCTATTACGCGGAACCGTAATAATCTTTCGTGAAATACAATTAAAAGTATTTTGAAATTTTGTTGTTCTAATTGCACAATTATTATTTCTATCGCGTTGCTTATTGTAGCGCGCGTAATTAGAAATTTTAATTAATAGAAATTTTAATTAATAGCATAACATCGAATCCGAATGTAATATCAATTACCTAATCTTGGTTATCTTAAACAGTGGCTAATAATAGAGGTAGCGCACCATTTAAGCAGAATAAATACGATTACGTGATTTCCTGGACGAGAAAATGGAAATGAGAAAGTGATAAGGATCTTGCGTGAAATAAATATCGATCGATAACGGAATTCAGTAATCTTTTCTTGGTCGAGAAAATCGATCGAAATTTTTCTCTTCTTCCCTTCTTCTTCGTTAAACCTGTTTCCACTCTTGTGCTCGGCTATTGCTCGAGATAGCACGCGTTATCGATACACGAGCCATGCGCTACGAAACGACCATCATGCTCTCGTTTTAAAATATTCCTGAATGTAAATGAGGGGGGTGATACAATATGCGTGATACTTTATACCGATGCTCGAAATTTCCGTCGAAATTATTGGGAACAACGTGCATCTAGAATGAGATACGCACACACCGCTGTAAATACGCGTCTCGTGGAATTCACGACTTTCGAAAAGGAAGTGAGTATGTAAGTGGAATTTGGTGTCAATGTTGGTACGTGCTCGATTGGTAAAAAAGTCACGAACCCACGTGTATACGAACGGATCATATTCGAAACTCGCAGGTATTAATTGATAATATGGGTGCGATTAAAAAAAATTCTATGAATAACTTAGAGGTTGGAGAGGGAAGACGCGCGTGGGAAGAAGTGCGTTTGTTTTATCGGGTTGACGCATGCAATTACTGGTGTAAAAGAGAATCGAGGAGCCACCGTGTTATCGGTTAAAACGAACGCGTGTAACAATGCGGTGAACCGAGTCGAGTGGATAGAAGATTATGGGATTCCACGCGATCGAAACTTTCTCATTGACATTTTCCTCGCCTCTACGGTCGAGATACGAGATGCACCACGGGAAAATAAACGTTTTACGCGGGGTCGCGAAAATTAGTTGTGGAAAATTTCCTGCCAACTTTCCCCGCGATCAATTGATATTTATCGCTTCTGATCAAGATGCGGGAAGGGAAAAGAATTCGGTCGAGCCGTGCAATTTGTTGAACTTATTTACGGAAGTTACACGCGATGGTGTGCAGCCGTGAACCGAAGACAGAGAGATGACGATCTATTCGTCCATCCATGTATCGGTATTCATTAGTCGTGTGATTTACACCTAGTTTCTCGTTACATAATGTAATTGTTACCTGTGGCTTCGGGCACGTAAGAGCGTGAAATGACGGACATTGAAGAAAGGATGACGAGTAATAAATGGATACTCTTCCCGACAGCCATCTGTAACAAAAAGGACGCGTGAAAATTATCAAACAATTTGTTCGGCAATTAGGGGAAACGATTTTATAATATTTCTAATAAGTAAGAATATAGAGATAACAATTAATCGTTATTTTTAAATCAACTTGCATTACACATATACCAGCCTTTCGTAACGGTACAAGAAATTAGTACCGTGCGTGCGTCGCAAAAGCCACGCGTTATAAACGAATTTATACCCAATTTTAATTTGCCACTCACCTTTCCTTCGTTCGGTTTTTGTTAATCCATTAATAAGAATAAATGAAAAAAAAATCTTGAAAACGGAATTTAACAAGCGGCGTTATTTTTTCACGAATGGCGGACGTATTCGAAACGACAATAAGAAGAAGAAGAAGAACGAGATCATTTTCTTCCTTAACGAGAGACAATTAGAGGAGCGGATTGTGGTGGGACAAGTAATAAGCAAAGATAGGATCGAGATTCAAAGAAATGATTCAAGGGTTCAGGATTTTATATATCATCGCTCCGGGATCTTCTCGGTTTTCCTCATCTCACGATACTTTCCGAGATTTACACGCTCACGTGCGTGTCTCGAAGGTGAGCACACACGGTATCCCTTCGTGTCCCGAAATCCCGTTATACAGTCAGTCGGTTCAGAGTCAGTGTTCCCTCTACGTATCTCTACGGCTGCTGGTGATGCTAAACAGAGAAGCGGGGAACGCGGCGATGATGACGAAGAAGAAGAAGAAGAAGAGCGAAGAGCGAAGAAAGGAGGCAGAGGCGACCATCGCTCTCGCGTCGATCTCGGCGTCGATTCGAGGAAAGAGAGGAAAGAAAGGAGGCCGTGAGAAAGACGAAGAGAGCGAACGAACGAACCGATTGCTCGAACGTTGTTGCTTCACCGGTAACCTAGTTACCAATTCCCCCTCACCGTCCTATTCTCTTCCTCCTTCCTCTGACCTTCTTAAGAATTAAATTAAATTCGATCCTCTGTGCGTGTAATTTAACCGTTCGATCATCGTCATTCGTAGAAAATCGATCGACGCGTTTTCCTATTATACGACGTTTCCAAGATTTTCGAATGAACAAACGGAGTTGGAGTTAAAAAAGTTGGAGTCAACAGTCTACGTATTTTTTTTTCTTCCTTTTTAACACGTCAATGCGTTTCTTCTTCGAGAATAGAGCAACAGAGGAACGGAGAAATTCAAGAGTGGAGGAAGATACCGGTACTAGAAATTATCAATTCCTCGTGTTATCCATTGACTTCTTTTTTTTTTTCTTCTTTTTCCTCTGTCCCGGAATGTCATTACACGCACGCAACGCTTAACTATATATACATATATATATATATATATATATATATATATATATATATATATATATGCATGCGGGAGCCGCGACAATTCATTGGAAATTCGTTTTCTATCGGCCGGTAATCACAAACGTCATGCAAAAGTATGTAGAAAGTTCAACCTTTTCTGGTATTTAGGACCGTCCGTGTGAACCCTGCACCGGTTCCGATACCGTGATCGCAGGGAGAAAGTATCGTTTCGACTTGTGTGCAAAATCGATTACATCGACGGTATTATGAGATACCGTGAATAATTTCACGGTGTGCGTTCGTACGCATCCAGAGGAGGATTTCAAGCTGATAACGCTTGACAATAATTCCCTTTCGTTGGTCGCGCTATGCAAGCGACGAGCCGCGTGCTACGCGTGTAAATACGCGGAAGTCACTTTCCTTCGAATCGTTCCGTTTCTCGGGCTTCGGTTTCAAGTAATTTCGATCGCGACAAAAACAGAGGGAAGAAGGAGATGAGGGTAATTATCGTTAACGATCTTTTCATTCCTGCATAGTGGTTAACAGTTGGTTAACAGTCGGTTGGTTAAAGGAAAGAAAAGAAAAAAAAAAAAAAGGAAAAAAAGAATCTCGACTAAAGAGAGACGAGCGATAGATTTAACGAGACTTTTACTATATATATATATATATATATATATATATATATATATATATATATATATATATATGCATGCGGGAGCCGCGACAATTCATTGGAAATTCGTTTTCTATCGGCCGGTAATCACAAACGTCATGCAAAAGTATGTAGAAAGTTCAACCTTTTCTGGTATTTAGGACCGTCCGTGTGAACCCTGCACCGGTTCCGATACCGTGATCGCAGGGAGAAAGTATCGTTTCGACTTGTGTGCAAAATCGATTACATCGACGGTATTATGAGATACCGTGAATAATTTCACGGTGTGCGTTCGTACGCATCCAGAGGAGGATTTCAAGCTGATAACGCTTGACAATAATTCCCTTTCGTTGGTCGCGCTATGCAAGCGACGAGCCGCGTGCTACGCGTGTAAATACGCGGAAGTCACTTTCCTTCGAATCGTTCCGTTTCTCGGGCTTCGGTTTCAAGTAATTTCGATCGCGACAAAAACAGAGGGAAGAAGGAGATGAGGGTAATTATCGTTAACGATCTTTTCATTCCTGCATAGTGGTTAACAGTTGGTTAACAGTCGGTTGGTTAAAGGAAAGAAAGAAAAAAAAAAAAAGGAAAAAAAGAATCTCGACTAAAGAGAGACGAGCGATAGATTTAACGAGACTTTTACTTGTTACTTGTGCGTCATAGTCATCAATTTCACGTGACCAATCGTCCAATACAATTTTTGCATACGCGGCAGAGAAGAAATTAAAAGGCGAGACGAATTTTATAACACGGATGAATGAAACGACTGTTGCGATAAATTATAGTTCGAAGCTCGATTTCGCGTAAAATTTTACACACACGTGCAATCCTGCAAAAGGACAGGTCACCGTTACTTCAATGGAAAATCATGCATTTCCTTTAAACGCGGTTGAAACGCCGCTCGAAACCTGCTCGACAAACTTTCAACAAATGCAAAGAACAATCCTATACAAATTTCAACCGCACATCCGGGTAGAATACGTTCAAATTGATCTCTCGTCCGAGAAGGATCGCCTCCTGGACGGCGTGTACGAGAAGAGGAGGGCACCCTGTATGCGCACGAAGATCCGGACACGATCTCCTCGCGCGGGATAAAAGAATTGACTCTCCGAGTGCCTCGAAAATTCTTCGCCGTTCGTTGGCCGTTCGTCAGTATGCGAGGAAGAAGTTCTTCCTACCGAAACACACGAGTGCGTGACTACAGGTATGCATAGGATTCTGCGCGCACGCGTAAACTTGGGAGAAAGCTCAGTTCGACTCTTCTTCATTATTGGATCTGGGTGACCCGATTGGCTTGCCCTCGTCGACCAACCGAGAAATTTCATCGTCATCGTCGTCGTTCTCGCCCTCTTCCACGTTCTTTCTCTGCTTCGAGTCGGATCTACGATTTACGATCGTTTCGACGATCGATCGCACCGTGTCTTTGCTATTATACGAAACCAATTATCCAATCCATTGTCGTTTATTTATCATTGTTTGTTATCTGTTTACGTTTTAATCTCGATCGAGCACAAAGATCGTGCGATGAAACGATTCGTTTCAAATTAAAATCGATGCAGTTGCAATGATGAGCGGGATAAGGTTCGTTCCTCGAAAATGGATATTTTGAAAAAATGATACAAGATGCGCTTTCACCGAGGTGTCGCATCACCTTGATCGTTCGTGCAAAACCGATCACCGTGCCTCCGCACCGGTTCGACTCGAGCGATCGCTTATACTCGCCTATCTCGCTACGAATTGTCGAAAGGGAAGCGATGAATTATTACATTTCGTATCGGAAATGTAAAAAAATAATGGGAAGGAAGCGGGGTGGAGCAATCGACGTAAACGACGACGGCGCTATAAATCGGAGTGGGAAGAAATTATTCCACGACCACTTTCTTCCCATTGTGCATGCCGAAATAAAGGTGTTCGCTTTGAACAACTTCGAAAGGGACAGTGCACCGTCTGCATTTTAAGAGGGCCCCGAAAAGCGGAACCCCCGAATGTAGGGCGGCAAGAGCAACGAGAACAAACACGCCAACCCGGCTAATCTACGTTAGTCACGCTGACAGAAGTCGATCATTACAAAGTCGTACTTCCTTGATAAACTAATAATTACGGGGAAAATAATAAGCGCGTTAAATTACGTTACACGCAACTTGTCACGAGTCTACGCTTTTGCTCTGTTATTTTGCATTATCCGTGCAATTTAGATCTTCTGTATCAACGCGCATGCAACAATCGAGCAACGTGCCGTTTATTCGGTGCAACGCTTGTCAATCGCGAAACATTTCGATCCGGATTCGTTGCTCCGTTTGGAATGAGGAGCGAATCAACGTTAAACGTACAAATCAACGACTAAGATTGGAAAGAGTGACACGAGCCGGCTGACAACCGTTACCAACTTACCACTACCCGGTTGTGTGGCATACCTAACTTAGCTACGCACACGCAGCTGCGCGCTTATACTAGTCGAAGCTATGTGCCAGACGCCGCTCGGGGTCAACGCGAGGAATCTTATTCCCATCTTGTTCCCAAAGTCTCTTCCTTCCAAAGTTTCGCGCGCGGACGTTCGATCGAACGTTGGAAATATGGAACGATAAGAGATGAACGGAGTTGTCTCGAACATCGCTTCTGCTCGAAATCTATCTATCTTTAACTCTCTGGGTCGTCAAACTCTACGCGACACATTTTTCCAGCGTTGATTTTCGATCGAAGAAACGAAGAAATTTATCGAATCGTGTCGAAATTTGGGAATAGATGTCCAGAATCGAAGAAACAAAGTTGTGGATAATGATAGTGTGGAAATTTTAACGATAATAATAACGCGATCGTGAGAGAGTTGAAGCGTTGGATGCTCGTTCAAAAATATAATTGCGCGTTTGACTCGGTTGTTTAATCTCGAGAAATGGGATTTTAAAGAGGTACAACGTGTAGGTAACGATGCGTGGATGAGATCACCGAGAATGGAAGATCGGAAGAAAAGAGAGGGGAAAAAAAATGGAGGAATAAGGATGCGGTGAAGCAGCGGAGCATGCCAAATGATCTTCTATGTATATCGCCCCGTTTACTACGGGCCAAAGTCGGAAACCCAGCTTTCTCCTGCCTCCACGGTCAGGTTACCTTGTGTACGATCGTACTTGATTCCTGATCACGTCCTGGTTCCGATAAACGATCCTACGATTCGGATTGACCGATATTTTTCTTGGTCCTTGCTACTATCAAACTACTTTCTACATTAATATTTATCGCATTGTTTCCACTCGATCGACGTGGAACGGAAAGCACGCAGCAAAGTGTCACCGTCCGAAGTGAACGAAGATCGAGATAGCGTAAAGTGGATCGATCGAATAAAATTAACCGAATTTAAAATTCGTCCAAGATCAATCTCATTGTGATCTCGATCATTTGAGCGCTTTGTTAAAATTTATAAATCGATATATATATATATATGTATATCGATGTGTGCATAAGTGTGTAATATTGAAACGAATTTACTCAAGAAATTGTTGTCAAGAATGTTTGACCGAGAACTCCGATTTTTAACGAGCAACACTTACCGTATTAACGTATTAACCGTGATACGTTCGTCGATTCGTCAGACTCGTCTCATAACGTTGCCTTAAATCCTCGACACAAGCCCCTCGTCGGTCGTTCTCCAAAAGAAGAAAACACGACCCTTTCTCTCGCACGTCACACGAACGTTTCCTTCGCCAAGTTCACACCTTCTCACCCCGATTTTTCCGCACTTGGTCACACAACTTCCTCCACTTCCCTTTCCCCGTTTCGCGCCTTATACGAATACGTATACCCGAACGTCTGCTACATAGACAGACAGACGGACAGATAGAGAGAGAGGAGGGGGAGAGACAGAGAGAGAGACAGAGAGAGAAGGCGAATCTTCCGTCAGGATCGACATGCACTGATATCTAACAGGCGAATCCAATCCACGATACACCTTCGATTAACGATTAACTTGTTAAATTGGAAACGTTTGCCGGTTGGCATCCGATCTGTGGAAATCTGTGGAAATGCAGGCGTGTCGGAATCGGGGTGGACAGTAGTGGACGGTGGTAGTCAATGACACACGGAGGCTACAACCGGCAAACCTGTTCGATTGAACTTTTCACGCGATCTCTAATGCCGATCTCTTCCGCGCACCGTTCGCCCATCCGGTTAGTCAAGTGGATGGTGGCTGTCTGCTTGTTGTACCTCGTGCCACGGCATGTGCTGGAATCGCATGGCTAAGTCATAAGCGGCGCCTTGGAACAGGGATCGTGGTGGTGGTCGAGGAGAAGAACAGGAGAAGAAGTGGTGGAGGTCGATTATGGTGGAGGCAACGTGGTGGCCGGGAGGACCGGCCGATCGCGACGATCGAAGAAGTGGGGGCAGGGAGGGGGGTCGTACGTTCGAAGGCGTACGAAGAAGAAGCGGCGGCGAGCATCGGGCGTCATCGGGGAGAAGGAAGGGGAGGAGGAAGGAGAGAGAGAGAGAGAGAAAGAGAGGGAACGAGGAGAAATCGAAGTGGGCCAGTGACCAGGTCACGTGGAGAAGAACGAGGCCCAACGCGCGCACGACAGCGACACACTGTCCTACTCATCGGGATCGTCGTCGCTTCTATCTGTCCATTCAGGAAACGCGTCGCGATGCATTCAGCCTCCGCTTGTCCGCTTAATTCATAGTTAGATCGGTCTGAAAAGAGGGAAGCGAAGAAAAGGGGGAGGAATGGCGACGAACGCGAGGAAAGCGCGAGAGAATATCGAGAGAGCTTAAGGGAAGAATCGATTAAGGGAAGGATAGTGATATTGTAGTTCGATTGTATTGATTGATGGAAAATTTTGAGACACGTTTTATCCATTCATGGCAGAAAGGAGTTATTTATAACTCGCAAAGTTTCGAGGACGAGGGTGCGATGTTTCGAAAGTTCATCCCATTGACAGGGGGAGTTGACAAGAAGGTGATTGATCTCTTGATAGGTAAATTCTCGAAGAATTTAAATCCTGTACGGGTAAAAATTATGGGACGGAGCCGCTGAATATAACCAAGTTTATAAAGGAGAATATTTAAGTAACTGGTTTCCTTTGTTTAAACATATCTGGTAAATAGACGATTTCTCTTGCAAGTCGTTTGGCAAAAGGAAACGAACTTCTTTTATATCCATTTGCTGATTAATGCGATGGTAATAATTTTAAATGAATTACTACACAAAACAACTTTCATAAGAATTATTGGATTTTGTTGATTAAATTGATTCGAAATTTCCATTCAGTATCTTCGATCGGTATAGTGAATCACGGTGTAGTTAAATATTGGAATTAAATAAATTTCAATATTGAATTAATTGCGGATAATATCCGTTGGTATCGAATACGATCGAATGGTATTGATAAATTCATCCGTGAAATTGGAACAAAAGAAAAATTGACATCGATAAAGTAGAATCGGTAGAAAAAAAATTAACACGACCGAGAGAATCTCAATTCGATCGAATTTCACTTCATTTCGGAGTCAGATCGTCTATCTATGTCAACTGCTTATGACGAATCGTATCGTGATACCATTTCAAAAATTGAACGTATAATTATTAAAAATTGAACGCGCGTGCAACGTTAAGAAATTGGAAAAATTATTTTTCCAATTTAACTCCCAGAGTTATCGCAATAATTATTTCATTTTGGGGACAAGGGGATGACACTTCTTTCGGTGAAAGAAGGAAAGAAACTCTGACGCGTAGATATCGATACCAATTTTCCACGAGAGAAATTTGATATGCAAACGTGTAAATTATCGAAATGTTCTTTTTTTTTTTCCTTTTGCCGAGAAAAAGATTGGAATAATCGTTATTTGGAGAAAGTCCGCTTTTCCTATCATCCCGATTGAAACTAAATTGATACTCGAAGCGTCACGATATATCCAAGATTCGAAATCTCACGAGGTCAAAGTCGCAAAGTGTGTCAAACTTGGCCTTTTACGGTACCTTCGGATTCGCCTTGTGATTAAGAATTCCGGATAAGATCTCGTCTCTAACATCTTTGTCCTGTCGTCGCAACACGCGGAGAGCACGCAGTGGCGGATCTCTTTGGAATAATTATGCATTTCAGACGCGGCTACCGGCGGTGTGTACAACATTTAGAGAGTGGATAAAATTCAATTCTTGATCGCGAACGTGACTCGGCCTAAGTAGGCCAGGACCTCTACCTTTCAGCGCGCAATGTTTTCTTTGATGCCGATATGCCATCCCATTTGTTCAGAAATACAACGACCGAGAGTGGATATAATTGATTGGCGAATAAAATATCTCGGATCGAATTATTGTTGGATCGAAACGAGCGATCGTGTGGGAACGCCTCGTTGTAGAAATTTACGAACAAAGTTTTCGTATTATTTTTTTTTTTTTTTTTTACGTCAATTCTTACGAATTCTAATCGTCTCAATGAGATGCCGAGATCATACGCACGCGTGTGTTTATCTGTACAGTTATTTTGTACGCACGCTTAAAATACGATCGTTGAAAAGAGACGATGGATCCCCTCCATCCAAGGGAAATTATCTTCTTTCCCTTGAAAGATGCGAATAGCGGGAAATTTTTCTATATTTTTTTCTCTCTCTCTCTCTCTTCTACTAAAAAGAACGTAACACAAGGTTACGAGAACAAATATTTGACCGTGATCGTGACTTTGGTCAAGTAGGTTGAAACTCTTTAAATGGATTTTACACCTTCGTGAATTTACAAAGAACACCGGCGGTATTGCGAGTCACCGTAATGATTAACAAATTTTTCTTAATTAACGTCATTATAGCGATTAATTGGTTTGTGTGGCGTAACGATCGTCGAGTAGAATGCTTCCATCACTTTGAGAAATTGTGGCAAATTAGTGAAAGAAATAGCAATAACGAAATTGTTATGTAAAAAGTAAGCTTATCTTTAAGCAGGTGGATTCAAAGAGGAAAAAAAATCTTTAAAACGATGCTATCCATCTAAATGAAATTTTGCCCGTATCTACGAAGATTCCAAGAAGAAAAAGACGTAAATCAATAAGTGCAAAGGCATAAAACGATTTTATTGTTATTATTATTTTTTTTTTCCATCGTTCATTCCTTATCGTAAAACGTAGCGAAACATTTTTAAATTAGCTACTACTACACCGCCACAAATTTTGGTCGATTGTTGCAACACCTAACCATTCCAAGTAAAAATCCAATCGAGGAGCATTTTTAGGTCGTGACCCCATAACCCATGGGAAGACACCCGCGAGAAGGAACGAGAGGAGAAACAATCGATGGTCATGACCCAGGACACGGTCGACAAAACTAGGTCAGAATTTAGTTACGTCTTTTCACGTTCGCCGCATCATTTTTCTTTACCGTTGCTCGTACGAATTCACCAGGCTTGCACGCACGACAACAACCTTTCTCCTTCCCTCCTTTTTTTTTAATTCCAAATTTTTCTATAAAAAAAAAAAAATCATTTCGCTCTTTTTCCAAAAGGCTCTTCTCGGAAGAAATATTCCGAAAAAAAAAAAAATATTACGCTTGTTTTCGGAAAAACGTAGTTCATCGATCGCGATAAAGGATCGACAGTCCTTGACTCGATTAATTACGCGAGTTAAAAATCTCAGAATCGTGTGTTGCGTAGCTACGAATGGTGGAGTACTATGTTGCTGACAAACGTGACGTCATTCCCGAGTCTAGTAAGGTCAGACCATGACCCTGCCCGATTCGAACAAAATCTGTTGATCGATCAGTGGCGTTCTAGGGCGCCGACGCGCCTCGTCCCTCGTCGCTTTCGCGCTCCTTCTAGCCCGGATAAGATCCTTCTTTCAGCGTACCACTTTTCTTTCCATACTCTGTTTGCATGCTGAATCGTAATATCACGCGATACGTAAATTGCTGCTTTCGTTTCGGCAAATAGAACTCGGTGGAAGAAAAAAAAGAAAGAAGGAAGAAGGGGAAAGGCTGGGGATAATCGTATCGTCGAACGTTTCCGTATTCGATTCAATCGTAATCGTATCGCGTCGCGGAGGGATAGCTGGCAGAAATTTTGCGCGTTTTTGCGGGGCGATTGGTGGTGGGTGAAGGCCGTCAATGATCTCTTACCTGTTTATTCGCGCAGTTTCGTGACTTCATAAGGAAAAGGCGGAGGTAGCTGGCTTTCTCCAAAGCCACTTAACCCGGTCCAGTAACATCCATCCATGAACCGTCACGCCTGTGACATTTTCGATTGCTTCGTATCGCAGTTAGTGTAATCGCGGGAATCCCTTTTACGATTACGTTCCCCGGTTAAGCTGGAAATCGATCAAGATAAACAGGTAATTTTACAGTCGACGGCCGAGGCGTGGCAGGATATACATAAAACCGCGCAAACAGGAATTACGAACGATTATTGTTTTCTCGAGACGCCACAATGTATTCCATGCGGTTTGTAACAGTTACATTCTTGTGTTACTGTTCCAATTAGGGGTTTAGGTACGGAGCTTGAACACGTTGAAATCACTCGCTTTTCCATGAAATTAAAATAAATTACTTTTTATTCTTTTTCTTATTATTTTACGAGCAACGTTGTGTTGTGGATGAAACGATAAAAATTGTTCGAAACGGAAAATAACGTGTGGGTATTTTACTCTTTTTGAAACTGCATAGTCGAAATTAAAATTCGCAAAATTCATGTTAGAAGATATGTCGAGCAGCATTTGTCGGAAAGGGATCCATCTCCAGTTTTTTTTTTTCATTTTTTATTCTTGCCCTAAAGTCACGAATGTGCATGCAAACATTCGAGAAGAAGAGATTCGCTTCTTCTTATACGTCGCTTCGAAACGCATTAACCTAGCATCATTAGTTGTTCAAGTGGACGAAAAGAAACTGCACGAAATTTTTTTCAATTATTATATCGGAATTGATTATAATAGTAACACGAGAAAGCAAGAAAACGATGATGTTAAATGATGGAACATGAAGTTAAAGTTAACATACCGATGAAATGGCGTGAAAGGAGAGAGAGTTACATTCTCGATGACATCGTAGCACAATTGGGCGCGACAATCTGTTTGCCCCATTCAACCAACTTTAAAAACCGCGATACTTTCTAGGCCAGGCTATCTATCGGCGAGAAAACGATTGTCGATTATGTCTTATTGACTTCTTTTCCTTCTTTTTTTTTTTTCTCTTCTTTTCTTTTCTTTTAATCCATATAAAAAAACGTCCAATTATCCCAATTATCGATTATAAAAATAAAGTAAGCCTGATTACGTATAAGATATTATAAAATTCCATTGATAATTTCCGATTTAAATTCTCTTAAATTCATTATTTTTTGATTAGTGATTATTCAGGAAAAAAATTTTATATATACAATACTTCTGATCGAAATGTTAATTAGCGATCAGTGCAAATCATCTGCATTTAATAATTTTGGAAATATATTTAGATTGGATAATTATAGATTGGATATTCCAACCTGTTCTACTATCGATCAAAACAATGCTTGAATATTAGATAATAATTTTCATAATAGCATCAAGTAGTATCTTTGTCTATCATTGGCCAAATGTATATATACTTTTCGTAAATGTGATGAATTTAAATGTACGAATCGCGAATTAGTTGATATATCTTATAAGATCGAAGATCAAAGACATAATCGAAGAATATGTAAATCAATTATTGAATCGATTTTTCCAATAATAATTTGATGAAAACTCTCTTGTTGAGCCAAAATTAAAATGTTCCGGAATTTTCCTCCTCCGGATTATTGCGTTTCGATTAAATACGAACAACAATCTCGTACAATTTCAATCAGAAGTATGTGTAGATCATACCCGTTTCACGTTGGTTGTTTTCTGCGATTTGATGAGAGCAATATCACGCGATAATAATAATATTGAAAAAAGTTTTTTTGTTCCATTTGAAAGAAGTTATTTCAAACTTCATAGAAGAATATTTTCAATATTCTCGATATCGAGACTCGTTGTAGAAAGTTTTAGAAAATCGTTCCGCTTCCTCGAACATTTTTATAAAAAAAGAAAAAAGAAAAAAAAGAATGGAGCCAGCATCTCCACTAACTCGAATCATTAAGAAGATAAAGGATCTTCGACACGTGGTAGCTTCATCTATCACTGCTGTTTCGTCGCGTTTTCTCTTCCCTCAAACACGTTTCACGCCACCTGTTTAACTCGACGTGACACTTCATCGAACAAGCTATCCCATTGTCCTGAAATTTTGCACATATTCAACATAGTTATATAAAATCCCGGCCGGTGGGGGGGGGAGGGGGAGTAGGCGTTGCGTGTAGGTGAGGTTTGAACTCTCACTCGAGACTGGTTGATAAATATCAACGCCCACGTTGATTGCTCGAGAGAGGACAAACAAAAGTGGATGGACGAGGAATTGCATTCGACAAACAGGTCACAATCACTAAGCCTTTTCCCGATGAAGAACATCCACATTTTTTTCTCTTTTTTAATACTCGATTGATAAGTACAGACACCGAGGAAAAAAAAAAAAAAGAATGCGAAAGGGATAGTAAAATTGTAGAAAAGTGATAGAGTGTGATAAAATATAACACGCACTACACAACAATTGATCGAGTATTTACAAGCTCTCGGGCTTTTGTATTTTCGCAGCCCCAATTATATAACGTACATTAATAAATTATTTGTTCGGTATAAACGGTTGACTATACGCGCGTGTGTGTATATAGGTGTATGTGTGTGTGTCTGTGTGTGTGTATTACATTTGGTGAACACACGTATGTATATTGCATATATATATATATATATATATATACATATATATGTGTATATATGAATTTTTATATAAATTAAATTAAATAAATGTGCTCATTTTTTTCTTTCTCGTTGAATTCACATATGTTTTTTATTACGTTTGTTTAATTATAACGCGTATTACGAATTGTAATAACGCATGTACGCATTCAACTTGGAAACTTTAGAGATAATGAACACATTCTTATTCGAGATTTAATGGATCGAATGAAATAATCATTGAACGATACTTTGATAAGTTTGTAAATTTGCTACAAGTCGAGCTTAATATATCAATAAATATATCGAGATAAAATTAAATTCATATAAAACGATTAATAATCTCTGAGTAATTCGATCAAGTTTCATATCACGAGCAATGACTACACAATAACATATTGTTATTCTGCAGTCTTGTATGCACTTCAATATTTTTCTAACAAATCTAATCTCTGACGCTCTGCTCTTTTATACAATACATTTATTCTAATTGTTACAGATTAAGCATTTGTTAGCACTGCTTAATAATGTAACACATTACAGAATAACAATATCGTGGATTAAATTGCTAATCTTTCGACACCTGAAGTATTATCGGAAGACGTAAAAAATTTGATCAAAAATCTGTTGAATGTATTCCTTCGTCTATCCCTTGAAATTCGTATTTGTTTCATCTCGTTGACGAATTGTTAATATCTAACAAATAATAGAATCGAAATGATATTTAATTGCGTCTAATTTTGCAAAAATTCTCAATCGTAATGAGAATATTGCAAAAATTTCTTTCTTATCATCAGTCGATCAGAATGAGATTCATCCTGGTGATTTCTATTATTAAATATAACGATATAACGAGAATCAAAAATAAAATAATCCAAAAGTATTGATATAATTTTATCGATAACACGGTAATTATATAATATTTGTTGATATCGTAGAACGCTATTTTGTCGATCCAATGCTCGTTCGAGATTTGATTTTATAACGAAAGATGGCATTACTTGTTCAATTTCACGTGTATAGCCTTGCATCTTGAAATTATGTGCAGCACGTATACACGTAGTAAACCATTGTGATACGATCGACTCCAAAGTCCATTACTCCCGATTAGTAATGATATCGCGTAATACAAAACGTTTATCTTATTTGATTTCGTGTTTGATAAAATTTCATGGAAAATATATATATTACAGGCGAGTACGTATAACGCCTCGTATCTTTCCCTCCCTCTTTTCTCTTAATATTCACTACATGCAAAGTTTTCCTTGAGAAAAACTGGGATTTGCATGCATATTTTGTATAAAATATATTATGTACATGCGTAAACTTTTCTCACTATATATTCAACCTATTACTTTTTTTTTTTTTTTTTTTTTTTTCGTTAATTAATTTCGAATTCTAATCGTGTCCCCTCGCGCAGTTTTCACCGAGCATCGATTTCAAAAGGGATACAACTCCTCAACTCAGAATTGAAGAATTTGATTTATCCACTCTCGAAACTCGGAGATACGCGTATAAACTCCTGGTTGATTGGGCACGGCACATCCAATTCCCCAGCTGATAACTCCAGCAAGGATCCATCGTTTATCGCGTGCTCTTCGAATTACCATCGGTCCTCCACTATCGCCCTGTGAAAAGTTAATAAATTCTAGTTCACAACTCGTTTCCACGTATTCTTAAAATTCGTCAGATGAATGGAATTACATTACTTCCGTACATTCCTCCCCTTCCCCTTGTATAATAAATGTATCGAAGAAAAAAATTTTAATTTACCTCGCACGAATCAAATCCTCCGTTTTTCCAACCGGCACAAATGAATATGTGTGGAATATGCTCGATGTATCCAGCGTTTCTGTACATAACTTCGCACATTGTATTATTGATCACTGGCACTGCCACTTCTTGCAGTGTAGATGGCAATGGGCCCTCTGAGAATAAAGAATCAACCGATATATCGTAGTTTTTAAATTAAATCATAGGTTGAATTCGTTGGAAAGAACGAATGATGATGATACCGTCATAAAGCCGACCCCAGCCAGTGACATAAGCAGTGCGGCCAACGTAAGTTTCGTCATCATCGGGTAAACAAATAGGAAGAACGTTTGGTTGAAATGGTAATAGAGGTTCGTAGAATCTCAACAACGCAAGATCGTATTCGAAGGTTCGAGGATCGAATTGCGGATGGCTGGCCACGATTTGAACTCTTCTTTCTTGATACCCGTAAGGCTCGTCTTCGTTTGCAAGATCGTGTTCGCCGATCCTTAGCAATAAATCGCTAGGTGGTACGCTGTGCAAGTTAGGAGAAGATATGTTAAAAATAAAAATTTATGTGTATCAATTAGTTTCAAGATTAAATCGGGCAAGGAAATAAAAAAATTTATTGGGATATAATCCCAAATGACAAATATGATACCAACTTTTCCACGCAATGGGCTGCAGTTATGGCCCAATTTTCGTTGAGCAAAGCTGCGCCGCATTTGTGCAGATACGTCGATGTTCTCCATTGTCGTAACGAGATCTGAAAAGAAAACATTGATCTTGTTTAACAAAGAACGACGTTCAACGTTATTCTGTGTATCAATTACGAGAATACTCCTCGAGATGCGGAAAATCATGAATTACGTACGTAGAGAAAATACGATCGTTCTTATGTGTACACGGTGATACAACACGATTTAATAAAAGCGCGAGAACATTGTCGTAAAATTAAACGAGAAATAATTCGAGATTTTAAATTAATTAATAAACGAAAAAAAAAAAAATTAATAAAAGATTTTATAAAAAGTTTATCGTACTTACTTGCCAAGGCCACTTTCCAAACGAACTACGAATGCCACCGACAATTCGCGATTCTGGGAACATTCTTCTTCCGCACACTGCAAGAACAAGCATCGTCGAATTTAAACCCTTCAACAAATTCATGAATCTCAATGACACAGCCATGTTGGGGAACGAGTCTTCTATATTCGTCCGACTGGATGAACCGGTATCGTCGCCCTTTCGTGTCTTTTTTTTTCTTCATGGCTCTAATTATGCACACGATTCTCCTTCGCGTTCAACAAGTGAAACAGATCATCGCACTTTGCGACAAGTTATTCACATCCCGATGAGATCACGAATGAAAACGACTCGCCGATGCAATAGCATCGACGCTATTCGTAATTCGCTTTTATGTAATCATGCTTGTCCATTTTTTCTTATTATTTCTTTTAACAACCGCGTATTTTTTCCCCAGTTTATTCAGGTTTCTATATTATCGACCATGGATTCCCGTTTCATTACAATACCGAGATAGGCAAGATTTTAAACGATTCGATCGATCAATTCGCGATCGATAACTTATAATCGTGAAAAGTGCGAAATTATCTTCGCATCGAAAAATATTCATAATCGTTTGAATTACGTTAAAGAGGGATTAAACGGATTTATAGATTTTTACCTTGCTTATAATCCGACATGTTGAGAGTTTCCATCGGTACCGGAAGTTCGGTATCTATCGTCACGCTTGCAATTGTAGACAGGGTTGTTAAGATAGTAGGTGTTCTTGTCACCTGTTCCGTATCAGTTTCTGTCGGTGATTTAACTAAGTAATGGTGGATTAAAAGGAAGTATTATTAAGAAAGTTGCAATTCCCAAAAAAAAAAAAATTATAAATCGTCATCGTACCAGAAGTCGTGGTAGATTGTATCGTGGATTCGAGGATAGGCTTATCGGTCGTTTCTTCTACCGTTTGCGGTTTTTTCGTGGTGGGCGATTGAATCATAATCCAACCGTCTGGAGTAGTTATCGGTGTCCAATCGCTCTCGGTTTGATCTGCAAAATCATTCAAAATGATTTTATCGATTGATAAACGGAGAGAAAAAGGAATTTGTACGAATTATTTCGAAAGATTTTCCTTTTTCGAATAACGATAATAAAATAATTGAAAGTACGCGCGTGAAAACTGGAACAAAGTGCAGTTATTGGAAAATAATTTGACTCGTTTAAATTACAAGGGGAGAGAGGAGGAGAGAAATGGATGCTGTTCACGAACTATTCGAGAGGAAAGATTACGGTGGACGGTTTAAACCGTTACAGCATACCGACGCAATAGAATTTCATCTCCTATCGATGCACGAAGAATACGACCTTTCATTCTTTTAATAAAGTGTTTCTAGACACGATTAACGCGACTCTCGTATATATAGAGAAATTTCATTTTACGCGTGTGTTTGAAATGCAGTTATTCGCGGCAAGGTGAAGCAACACGTCACGATTTTAACGTTAAACATGGTTGACATAAATCCGGTAATATAGCAGAAGTATTATGCACAGAAATTATTCGTACAATGTTGAACAACAACCGTGTTTATTTTATTATATTCTCTAACATGGGCAGATTTTATTTCACGATCGAATTATCTTTTCAGAAATATATTTGATCGAATCTTTAAATTTTAATCGATGTATAACGTATAATAATTATAATTCGGAAATATCATATGGGTATACAGATTGGAGATATTTCTTCTAAATCGCCTATTCGACAACGCGATAAAATTCCGATGAAATAATTAAAAATTATTGAGGAATAAAACGCAGACGACGAGGATTCCGCGGATAATCTATCAAATTCACTTAAGCTTTCATGATTCTCTCGATACTAGTTAATGCAAGAGGCGTACACCTCGACGTGAATTGCCATCGAGATGATTTCCTATTGACGACAAGACCGTCACGTTACACAATGGATATCCGTTTTCTTCGATTTCACCGAGGCAACAAGTATACTTTTCGTTTGGCATGCGAATGAAAAATGCAAATATTCTCTCCGTTTAAATTAATCACATATTACACACGCGTTTACGAATTATTTACAAATTATAAAATTTAAATATTATATCTAATACACCATCTATGAATCGAATTATCACGTCAAACTTGGCAACACATAATTCGATTTAAATTGTCATTTTCCGGAAAGATCATTAAAATAGTAAACTCACCCAGTTGCGGCGTGGTTGCCGAAAATATATCTGGAATCTTTGTAGTGGTGTCGTCCGAGCTCGACGTCCATGTGACGAGTCCAGGCGAATAGGTGGTGTGAAAGGTTTCCTCGAAGGTTTGGTTAACGTTAGGCGCCTTCGTCGAAGGTACGTATGACGACGTTGTTGGGTCGGTGGTTGTGTCGGTAGAAAAGGAAGGCGTAAAACTGGTATCCGTTACAGGGGATGTCGTGGTCGTAGAAGGCTCGCTTGTAGGCCTGCTGAACGGTTTCGTGGGTTTTGACTCGACCGTTGGCCTAGCTGGTTTCGTAATGGCAGACGTGGTGAAGACACCGACAGACGACCCCGTTTTCTCGGTGGTCGTCGTCGCTGCTTGTACCGGCTTCGACGTGGTAGTGGTGGTGGTGGTGGTGGTCCTGGTTGGTTTTGGCCTGGCAATCGTCGTCAACGGCTTCGAAGTGGTAGGTTGTTTGACTGTGGTAGATGGCTTGACTTTTTGCGTGGGCCTCGTTGGCGTCGCTACGGTCGTGAACTTGTGAACAGTCACGGTTTCCGTGCTAGAGGTCAAAGGAGAGTTTGCTTCCGTGGAAAGAGAAACTCTCTCGGTGGTGGTCGATGCCAAGGTTGGTCGATGCTTGTTGGCCAATGTCGAAAGAGGTTTCGCGGTTGTGGACCAACCGGGGGGAATTGAAGTGGAATTTAGGAATGGTTTTGCAGAGGTGGAAGGTCTCTTCGTATGGGTGCTCGGTTTCTTCGTGCTAATCGTCGGCCTCTTCGTACTGGTGCTAACCGCTGGTTTCTTAGTGGTGGCGATAGGTTTTCTAGTTGTGGCGTGAGTAACGGGTCTGGCGGTTGTCGAATTTCGTGGCGGGAACCTCGTGAATGGAACTATTCTCTGAGTAGTCGTAGCTATTCCGATTTTCGACGTGGTCGATTCGGTGGTTCGATCGGTGGACGATAGAAAGGGTTTAGATGTGGTCGCATTCGTCGTAGGCCTGCTGTGAACGGTAGTAGTCGTCGAGTGTATCGGTTTATAAGCGGTGGACGAATTGATTGGGTTTTTAGTAATGGGTTTAGTCGTTTGAGCGAAGGTTTGCACGGTGGATGGCGCCCTTGTCACGACTTCCAATGTCGTTGGCCTTTCAGTCATCGACGAGGTCAATGCTGATTTACTCGTGGTAGTCGCCGCTATTTCCATGATCGTGCTCGACGGTGCTTTTTGCGCCGTTGGCACTGTACTGCTCGTGATTCTCGGCGGACTTTTTGTGCTCGAATCTCCCTTCGATGAGTTTTGCACGGTTTGAAAGGTCGATAACCGAACCGGTTTCGTGGTCGTTTCGATGCTCGTCATTACCGGCTTTTTAGTTACGAATTTTGTCGTTTCTTTTGCCGTGGTCAATTGCGTGCCAACACTCTGCGTAGTGTACGTAGTAATTGTCTCCTAAACGTTGATCATAAGAAAAAGAAAAGAATTATTATCGAATTATTTTATCCAACGATTATATATTCATTGCTTAAAAAAAAAAAAAACTTTGTGTAGTTCGTCAATATCGTTCGAAACAAAAATCTCGGAAAGATAAAATATTCGAATAGAATTCGAAGTCTGTTCTTACCTCGGTCGAGTACGTTCCAGGTGGTTTCTTCTCGTTGATCGGTTTCGGCCTTGAAAAGTACTCAGGTATATCGTTGCTCTCGATAGATCCATAGGTCGTGACGAACGGCCTAGCCGGTGGTCCATCGTCGATACTGTTGTCTTGAGGGAATATTTCAGGCTCCTCGTCTATCTTGCAACAACTGCCGAAATAGAAACGATCGATGCAGGTTCCTAGATGGGTGCCATTTGCCTTGGCGCACGTGAACGCAAACATGCAAACGCCAGTCTCGCCGGTTCTTCTAGATACGCAGGGCAAATGCCTGATATTCCTTCCTATACCTGCGGATAGAACAGAAATATTCGAATAAATCTACGTTTCTATGAGTATTTCGTTTAAAATTTCAGGTGAAAGGTTGGGATCGAACTTGGAGTCGAGCCGATGGCTTCTTTTTTTTTTCTTCCGTTTCAAACGAGAGGAGAGATCAACATCCTCGATCTCTAATCAAGCTGATTCCGCCCTTCACTCGGTGCATTCGATACGCGCGTTCTACATTCTACCGAATTTAACGATGCTTCGAACCATAAGCATCATCATCATCACCATTTATAATTCCACGTAATCCGTCCTATTGTATCCACCCATGCTCTCCTGTCCGCGGATAATGAACGACACCGAGAATTTAATATGATCGATTAATCGCGTCGAAAGAAGCTGTAAATCGCACGGCGGAAACACGTGTGCCGTTTCTCCTATTTAATTGCATCCATTATGAAGCGATTATCGCTCCGGAACAGTGGGCACGATTACTTTAATAGAATTCGCATAGTTGGCGAGGAAAAAATAATTCCAGGATATTATGGATGGATGTGTAATTGATTATTTTTGATGTGATTTATAACATCGCGTAAACAATGATTTAACGCGATTCAAAAAAAAAAGGGGGAAATATTTAACGCGTAAATTTTTATCAACTTTGATTAAAATCTGCGTTATCGTGATCGATCGACTGTTTCTCAATTTCCAATCCCAATTATGGAACGGTGATTATATATATATACTCATAACGTAGCGGGCGTTATCGAAGAACGAATTGATGTCAGGTAAAGCAAAGCATCTTGGTACCGTTACATTTCGATGTATGAGCTAGTTGCCCGACCCAAAAGTCGGTCACAGTCATAGCCTAATGTAACAGCCCGTTTTCCTCTAAGACACCTCACAGTCTCGGCTTCTCCGACCATTCTCCTGCTATCTAGCGAAACCTTTGCGAACGAATTCCAAGATTTTTTCACTCGTGATTGAAACGTAATTGAATAATCGAGCCACGTCACTGGGACAAGATCGACGCTTGTCGTCGATCATTGAAAAAGGATCAATCTTCGTTTTTTTTTTTTTTTTTTTAAAAAGAAGATAGAACAGATTCGTTCAAAATTTCCGAGCTGGCCAAAGATTGACGAGATTGTCGTACCGATCGAGTGCGATTTTCTCAGAATATTTACTTTCTTCTTGGCATTCGAGGTTGATGGCCGTAGCGAGTGAAAATCGACCGTAAAATTATATACAAAGTCTTGAGCCAGTCCTTTCGGGTCAGTCGGCCAGCCTTGATGTTCCACGCGTTTGGTGTCCTTCCGTATAGAAAATGTATGCTAGCGGAAGTGTCGTCTGAGTCACAATCGAAAGAAAGAAAGTAACCGATTTCGTTACGTACTTGTTGGAATTTCGAGCGTGGTGGACATATCGAGCATACACTCGTGGCATACCACCTACTCGTGGCGATTCGAAAGGATTTCACTGATGGTCAAAAATTAAATATTCCGTGTGTGTGTGTGTGTGTGTGTGCGTCGACGATGAATCGAAGAACGAAAAAACAATCCGACCCGCATTCGCTCACACACACGAAACATACACACTTTCCATCTGGTGGAAAAATTGGAAAAGGAACGAGTGAAAATAATTTTACTCGGGCAGGCATGTTGAAGCGTGCAGCCGATTTCGGATTTTCGATCCGACAAACGATTTCACCTAGGGTTCGTTGGCTTGAATGAAGTCAAGTTCGAATACCGATGAGAACGAAGATGACGAGATCGGAAAAATCAGTGTAAGTCGTTGGGCACATCGATGACCGGGACTGACCCACTTGTATAGAAAACTGACCAGTCCGCCCACGTTCCTTACGAGCTCGAATCCAAGGTAGGTTCAATGTCGTCCTCGGGACAGGTAGAGGCGCGTATACGTGTGTATAGGCGTGTCCACGCGAATTCGAATACACGGTTGGAAATGTACAGGTTTAGCCCTGCCAAGTATTTGCGTAACGATCCGTTATTCAGCTGACACTCGAGGGAAATCCAAGAATCCCGGAAAAAGAAGAAGCAAAAATGTGCACGCGAGTGGAAGGGGAAAAATTTTGCGCTTGAATCGTGCTCGCGTGTCTGATCTCAATTAAGGATCTTACAGAACAAACATAACGCGTTTACACGCGTTGAGAATAATAATTTTTGCCGGGTTCGACGATTTCTTTTTTCTTCTTCTTCTTCTTCTTCTTCTTTTTTTTTTTTTTTCACGTCGAAACTTGCACAGTTTTACACAGTTGCACTCGAAACATGCGTTCTCGACGCGAGTTTCACTTCGTTCCCAATATTTTTCCCAATTCCCGCGAAATATTTTCGAATTTTGACAATTATCGGAGACGACTTACTTCCTGGAATGAATTGTGGGACGTAGATCGGGGAAGCGATCACGGTATTCAACAGGACGTTCCCTAGGAAGACGACGATCCAGGTTTTTCTTTCTCGATCCCACATCTGGAAGAAGAAAAAGAAGAGGCGAAAGAAAAATGAATTTCAGATTTGCCCGTGTTTAACGTTAGCACGCTCGTGCTATGCAAGAATGCCATTCATTTCATGATATATACATGAGAAGATTCTCATGAAATGAAATTAAAAATCCCGTTCCCAACTGGGGATCATTCCGACTTTTTCATATTTCGCGCTGTGGAACAAATGCGTTATTTTTTTTTTTCTTTTCATGATATGGACTCTAAATCTCGATTAAATTCATAATGTAACCGTAAATAGAAAAAAAAAAAAAAAAAAGAAAGAAAGAAAATCGTAATAATTATCAAAATATTATATTGTATAAATAAGACATAAATCAATGTTACTTCGAGTAATATAAGCGCGCTTAGTTAGCAAAATTACATTACACGTTGGGAAAAATATTAAAAAGATGGAATGGAAATATCTTTTTAAGAGTCGACAAAAAATAAATGGCGAGAATGGAAAAGTGAACGATCTTCTGGCAATGAGAGTAGACGTTCGATTTCAATAATAGAGATACAATGATGCGATAGATAGAATAAGACAAATCTGATTAATTTTCACCGCGATGATTTCAATTACTTTCCACAAGTATATCCTTTTCTTTCGTCATGCCATTGTCCATGTATTTGCGAGGCTGACACGATTTCAAATCAACGATTATTCGTCGTGCAAGGATCAAATTACAGTTATGTAGCAAGAATTCGGGTATAACGTTATATCTTATCCACGGTTGAATCACGGATTGCGTTAGAGTCGGATCGGTTCAAAAGAACAACCTCTGTCGTGTCCTATTTTCTTTCGCCTTTTGCTCGATCCTCATAATTTCCGTTCAAGATATGTTAAACAAACAGAAGGAAAAAGATAAAATGTTTAAGTCGAAATGGTTTGCGAAAAACATTCCCGTTTAAAAACGAATTTTTATTTCGGCTATTTAACATTTAAATAGGCACGCGATTCTTTCGTTTTCTTTTCAAGCAACCCGAAGAAATGCAGTGATCTCATCCAGTGTGCACTCGCTCCTCCTCTTTGAGGAAGTGATAAAAACCGTTACAGTTACCCAGAGGCAGGAATTCGGGTGGATGAAGCAACAAACGTCGAGTTGTGTTGGCTTGTCGATGGTCAGGTTACTGGTTTCCTGTTTCTGATTAGTTAAGCGACAGTTATCTTCCTCGTCTCGATTTGGAACAGATTAATTTTTTCTCTCTCTTGCTCTCTCTTTATTTCTCTCTTTTCAGAACTCGCGCGCACTTTCTTTTTTCTTCTTTTTTTTCTTTTTTTCTTTTCTTTCAGAAAATCGTACAACGTGATCGAACGTGTTCTTTTTAACGAAATTACTTCCTTCGAACATTGCGAATAACCATTTTAGTTATTATCTCTTATTATTGTTGAGTTATCTTCCCTCTAACTATTAATCCTTGCTTACGTTACGATTTGCGATCAGAAATTCTCGTTTCGTCCCTTCGCCCGTAACTCGTTACGCATAATCATAATCAAATAATTTAATTCATCTTTGAGGATGAACATCTGCTCCCTGATTAATTTGCAAAACATTATATCCGTCTCGTATCGGAAATCAAATTATTATTATTATTATTTTTTTTTTCTTCGTAATTAAAAAGACTGGAAGCCGAAAGCGGGAGACTTTGCGCACACGTGTACGAACGTGTTGGTGTATAAAAAGCTTTTGTTGTAGCCTGGTGCGTATGTTGTAACGGTACAAGCCACTTTCATTTGTACGCACGTATCTAATACGAGGCGCACATGTGGGTTGGCGCCGAAGTACGGTTCGGTAGAATAAAAGAGTCATTTGGAACGAACGAAAAGACGATCGTGTTAAGCAGAATTCGTTAAATACTTTGGTTGGCCAAAGTTGACGGATAGGGATAATTTTCGCAAAGGATATATGGAATTAAATATTTATATAACATTGAGAAAGAAAGAGAGAAACAAACTGTTGTTGTACAGCCACAAAATTTATCGATGATAAATTAAAAATTTTTATTTCGTTCCTCTCAATATCATATCTCATCAACAATAATTTCCATCCATAAACGGTACAAGTATCTTTATATTAATCTTACATCTTACGCGATTTAATCGTGAATGCATTTAATGGAAAACACGATTATATACTTTGGCATAAATTTTATCGACTTTTATTATTATTATTATTATTATTATTATTATTATTGTTATTATTTTCGTTCGCTGGTGAATCACGAATACTAGACGATATTATCGAAAGAACGACACCCGTATTAAAATCACGATGAATTTGTGAAAGTTTGTGAATTCTGCTCGAAGGAACGAATGGTACCGCTATTCGTGAACGACATACGGTTCATATTGGCAAATTTAGCGACAAATGGGTTTTTTAAAATATTCTTTTCAATCAATTTCGAACAAAACACACACACAAAATGTTTTCAAACCGATCGTGCGATAAATCATAAGATATACTTTTTTTTTAACATTGGCGCGAATATTACTCATAATATCATATCGACAGACGTGATCTACACAGGAAATTAATTATCCATCATTTTCCAATCGAAATGTAAAATTTCGTATCGCGATCTTTCCCTTTTTCTTTTTTTTCGTATCACGATTTTTATTAAGATACGGTTGATAAACTTACCTTTCTTGATTCGCCGGCGAGCGACTGCAACGATGAACGCTACTCAAACGGTTGTCAAACTTGGAAGGACATCGTTCTCCCCCCCCTCAACGAACTTAGAATTCTCGCCCTTGTGAAAAACGCCGTCGAGCTTGGCGCACAGGATAAAAATCACGTGGAACCCCGTTGTCGAAGTCGGAATTTCGCCCGCGAACTCGCAAGATACGATCAAGCCCCGCCGATTTCCTGTTTCGCGCGCGGACGAATCGACTCTCCTCATCGAACAAAACGATCCGCGACCTCGAACGGGCCACCTTTTTTTCTTCGATATCCCCTCGAACTCACTCAGATTGGCGGGTCCGCAAGCAGCCGGGGTGAGAAGGCTTCTCGTGGAAGGAAAAGAGAGGCGAAAGAAATTTTGACCTGTTCGCCGTGGCTAGCACCGATCTGGACTGGTTGGTCGGTGATCTTAGCTCAGTTCACGACTTCTGGATCCGTCGATCCAGGTGCTGTCGGGTGCGCTCCGCATGCACGAATCCCAGCACGACGCATCGTTGTCCGTGAAGGCCCCACCATGACCGATAGAACGAAGCCAAGCTAAACTACAGGACAATTCCGCACGGTAGACCGTGGCAGGGTCGAGGATATTCCGCTTGCCGGGGACTTTAGCACTGGCTCGAGGTGAGGTGGTGGCAATGACCGTTCTCCTCCGTTGCTTCTCTCCTTCTGAACCACCACGATTATCCTTCTTTCTCTTTCACCAACAGCCACCTTCGTGCCTCCTCTTCTCGAGGGCCTGTTGGTTGACGCTCTTCTGGCCTTTCAACGTCCCCACTTCGACCTGGTTGTCGTCGCAGGTCGCTTTATAGCCGAGGGAAAGAATTGTAGTCGCTTCTTTGCCCGCTATCTCTCCTCCTTTTCCATCCAATTCATCTTTTCCTGCTTTGATGTCTTTTCTTTCTTTTCTTTTTTTTTTTCTTTTTTCTTTTTTCCATCCACGACAACTTCGCAATTTGCTGTTATCCTTTCAACGAACGATTATATACCTCTTCTTCGATCGGGGATCGAACGATGTATTGTTCCCATATTCCCATGCTCGAATATTAATTTTTATTTAACGTCGGTTAAAGCGACAAAGAGATTGGATAGTAAAAAATATTATATCCGTGTACATGTATTTTTTATATATTATAAATTAATCGAGAAGAGTCGTTGTTTATTAAACTTATCTTTAGAAGGTAAGTCTTTCGCCTGTTGGATCGACCGGTTTGCCAAATGACGATGATCACAACAGCGCCCTCGTCAATTAATTATAAATTGTTGTAAAAGCAATCTGTTGATATTCGTTTCATAATTTGTTTGTTTTTGTTCGATGCCATAAGTACACGGAAATATCAATTAACGGAAAATATAACAGAAGGAGGTGCAAAATTATAATCATATATATATATAAATCAATCGACCGATAAGACTCGCTGACAAATGTAAAATGTGAAAATTACATATGAAAGAGATATGGAACGTCGGTATACATAAAAATTTTGTATGAATCCTTTAATAATCGTGCTAACTTTGAAAATCTCGAAACAACGTACAATTTTTCACACGAATACGAGTTATCGAATATCGAAAATACGAGGAATCTGAATAATCGCGAATTATAAAAGAGAAGAAAAAAAAAAATGTTGTCGTATAATATTTGAACGTATCAACCTATTGAGAGGTACTGTAACCCTCGCGAAACACAGTTAAGATCGACAAATAGGAACATATGTTCCTATTCGAATTAAGAGAACAGTTATCGGAATGACATTTATTCTTTGGTTGTACAGGAATTATTCACGATTATTTATAAAAGAATTTTATTGTATCGATCGAGCGAAATGCGCGCTCTAAAATCCAATATTACGAAAGCATCGAATCGCGAACATGACACAAATTAAACAATCAAAATGATTTCATATAGAAAAAGGGGTAAGATTCGTGGCTCGATAAATAAATAAGTTTCGAGCAATTTTTATCCCATTATAGACATTTTTTTTTTCTTCTCGTTTAACAGCTCTATTGATTATCATCAACGTCAATCATCACGATTCCATAAACGAGACGTATTTTATTCCGATATTACATCGATCTATTTTCGTGTGTATCGTATGTTGTCGAAATTCTTCACTTTTGAAAATCTCTGAATTTCAGATTTAACGATCTCAAGATTGGCAGATTTGTTCAGCTAGATATGCTTTTTAAAGTTCCAAGGGTGGATATATTCGAAGATTATTCGCGACGATGGGCGGGGTCACGATTCATTTTAAATTAAAATTAATTGAGAAACGCGTGAACTTAAATGGATAAATCCGTATGAAAATTGATGGAGAAGTAATAATGTTAACGGATCGATCCTATAAAGTGATTGTCGTGGTTTTTTACTTTATAAAAGAATACGAAATTCGTTATATTTGCAATTTTTATCAAAAGGATACAAAGGTAATATTCCCCTTTACTTCCTACACTATATCTTGGCTTGGTTGAAACGTTTCATAAAATCCATGTGGTATGACTACGTTACAATTTGATTATATTTTTGCAGAGCGTGCTTTTATTGCTCGCAAAGAGGGGAACTGCTAGGAAAGAATGTTTATCGTAAAATAACGAAAAAGGTTCGATGTAGTCATCATCGCCTTTAAAAACCCATTCTTTTTTTCATCAAATTCTTATCGTGACACACGTTCAAAATATTTTTTTGTGGCCACATTTTTCGTACAACACGCCAAAAATAATTCGGATCGATTTTATTGATCGACCGAATCGAATTTGAACGAAATTTCAAACGAACGATCGATAAATGAGATCGATCCTTTCGAAGGTCGAATTGCTAATTGTAATTATGATATGTAAAGTATAAAAAAAAAAAAAAAAGAATGGGAAGAAGGGAAAAGATCGACGCAAGGATAGTAGAGAAAGAAGACTGGTGGGGTTGAATCTCGTGGATTGGCTGCGCGATACACGATTTGTTGCCGAGGGGATGCGCCAGAGGGTATGTCCCCAGGTATATATACTCTTGTCCTGTGGCACGAGCGGCCGATTCGATTTCAACTCTCGAATATTTCGAAAGGATAATATATACAGGAATCTTTTCTCGTCACGACAGATTGATATCTCGACTTGTGAGTATGCATTGCGAATGTAATTCCTTTTTTTTTTTTTTTTTTTTGTGAAAAAAACTCGGAAGTATTCGAAAATATGTGTTGTTTTATCTCAATTCGTTATTAATAAGTTATTCTCATCAAGGTGGTGATAGTTTGAGAAAAAACATATTTAAAATTATTTTCAATAATAGTAGTTGTACTGATTCGGGTTATTTCGAAATTAAGATAATTTTACATATGTTTCAAATCGATTCATTTTTTTTACATCCTATTTCGTGCATACAAAGTGTGAACACAAGAAGGTGCAATTTTTAATCAATAAATAAATGCAATTTTTAATCTTCGATTTTGATAATTGAAACATCAATATCGTCATCAATGATAACTTAACATTTTATCGCGTAAAGTGTTTTTATTTTTTTAAATAACGAATTTGAAAAATACCATTATTAAAAATAAAAAATATAACAATGAGTTTCAAAAATTAATTCATTATCATCGAAAACAAAATACGTTCAAAAATTATATTTCATAATCAATCTGATAAATCGTTGTTTTTTATTTTTTTTCGTCGCATGACATCGTAATCAGTTTTACATATTCAATAAGTACATATTAACTCGTCGATTCGCGGCATTTCTCTTTCCATGAATATGAATTTTATTTTTTAATCACGATGCAAATGTCGATAGATAGTTGAATTATCGTGCGTAGTTATCGTCCTTCTGAATTTGCGAGTTAACTTTTCCTTCCTCGATTAAGTCGATCTTCACATTTATAATACCGACAATATAAAAGCAGCATAAATACATTTAAGTAAAAAGGCGTAATATGCAGCGCATGAAATCCTGTCAGAATATTCGTTCTTCTTTGCAAGCAGCTTTGTTGCTGGATTATCAAGCTTACGAGGGTATCTTTTATATAATAGTTTGGACCAAACGATACATATTCCTTTTTTTTTATAGTCTTTAGTTCTCTATAAAACGAGATGATAGGCTATTCGAATTTTTATGAATACCGTTCGATATTATTAAATTAATAAACAAATCGGTAACAAATCTCATATTAAGAACATGTACGTACATTTTTAATGAGCTATCATTTCTATGAAATCGATGAATTTTTTTCCTATCGAAATCAAATATGTTTTTCTATGAAATTCTAGTAAATTTCGGAAATTATTGTCCGAATTTTCGAATAACGATCCGCAGATCAAGTTCCACATTTCCATATTCAATTTTAAACCATTAATTGCTCCCCGCGGAAAGCGTTCGATTATCGATGGAGTGATATCAAACAAGCAACAGGTAACTCGAGTTTAAGTTCAATTTCTATTCGCACTTAATATATTGCGTCATATAACGCGGACTTATACTCAAATCGTTTTCAAAATCTGATTTAATCGCAATTAATATTACGTTACCACGTGACGTGACGTTTTTATGATTTTAAACACGAATATGCTTATAGTATATTTTTAAAACTTGAATAACGCGATTTAAATATATCAAATTATATATGTGATAGAGTAATATATTTGACCATAATATATACATATATAGCTATAACGAATATGATTATGAATATTTTTTATAGATATATTGAAACACGTGTGAAACAATTTAAATGTTAAAATTAATCAATCCGTATAATTCTTTTCAAAATTGTTCAGATATTTATATTATGATAATGAAATATTCAGTGGAATAGAAAAGAATGAAAGTTTGAAAAGAATGAAAATGAAAGTCGTATTTGTTAAACCGAGTGTAATTAATTTAAGAAACAGAAAAATTTAAACAGGTGGATAATGGATAGCGTATAAATTTGTATTGATTTATAATTTGCACGCTTTATTATGTAAATCGAATATGCGATTATTTGTGTAACGAAATCGCACTTTTTCAGGAAAATTTCGAAATTTATTTTTTCCAACAAATAACCGATGATTTCTAAAACGACGATGCAACCGTATTCCAATACTATCTACTTGTATCTTGCCCTCTTTATTTTTGGAATTATGATTGTCCATGGTGAACCAGAACCGATGGCCAGACCAACACGACCAGAAATATTTACAAGTCCGGAAGAATTAAGAAGATACATCGATCATGTCAGTGATTATTATTTGCTTAGTGGTAAGGCAAGGTAATAATGTATTTATACGTTATCTAATATTTCATAATACATAATAGATTTTTCGATTTAATTAATTTTTAGCTATAAATATACACGTATATTTATAGATTTGATAAAAAAAATTTCGTATAAAATATTTCAAAAATCGAAACTTTAAACAGATTTAGATATAGAAATTTAAAAATATAAATTTTCCAAAAGATAATTCGAACATAAATATGCGGTTAATAAATTGAATAATTATAACGTTGTGATATTCCTGATATTTGAATAGATATGGAAAAAGAGGAAATGTTCTATACTCTGTGCCAGATGTTAATTATCCTTGGGATACGATGAAAACAGTAGCGGAGAATTCTCAACGATCGCAGCAATTAAAGTTGGAGAAAAGAAAGCAAAAAGATGGTCAACTTTTGGGTGAGCACGAAACTTATGGCGCTAAAAAGGAAACATCACGAATCGATACTCGACCTTGTCACGAGTTAGACTCAATTGAAAGATACTATGATGATGTGCAATAAAATAATTTGCATATCTTGTCTTGTCTATAACGTATGCATCTCGTTGTTGTTTGATTCTTCGTCACATTGTTCCATTTTAATTGCTTATCTTTACTTTAATACTTTTCTTTGCTAGAAAAAGTTTACTTGAATTTTCAATTGAAAATAAAGAGTGCCTCTTCGAATTGAAACAAGGATAAAACGACGGCTAATCATTTCGTTAAAATTTATACAAACAACAAGAGATTTCAAATTTAAATAAATAATATTTCACTTGATACAATTTTGAATATTTTATTTTTTTTTTAAATCTTGCTATCACAATAATATTCGTTAATTAATCTAAAAACACAATTATCTTCGTAAAATACGTATCAATTTTTGTTGAAATTATTTTTCTCTCTCTAGAAATCGTTTCAATATATTTTAACAGCATTGTCAAAATCCAGAAAATTTTTCTTCCCCATTGTTATATCGTTTATTTTCGAATTGGACGACTTGTCGTTGAACAAGGAAAATTCGATGCTCTGTCGCAAGTTGCGATTTTCGGATTAAAAATGAGTCCTTCTGCGCATTTATCTCTCCATTTTCTTTTACTTTCGCAATCGTATACCCAATAGTATCTGCAATCCGTTTTATCCTCCGAGTATTTTCTGCCTTTACAACTTGTCGCTGTTTCTGTTGAAGTAGTTGACGGTGTTGTCGTTTTTGTTGAAGTAGTTGTTGAGATCGCCGTTTCTGTTTTAATAGTTGTCGGTTTCGTCGTTTCTGCCGCACTTGATTGCCCTGGATAAACGCAATTTGGTAGATTCGGGACGTTAAATGGCCAATCGCAAACTTCTTCTTTCGGATTAAAGACTAATTGATTTCCATTTCCATAGTGTGGGCATTCCTTTGAACATGCCATTCCTCTTGTACATTTAAAAAATTTGTGGCAGTTGCTACGATCAGGAAGATGAACTGCATAGCCAATGTCATTTAATGGACAGTTCGAATTTGGGACACAATCACTGGATAATTTGAAATTTAGTGTATTTGCTGTTGCCATAAGCATGGCAAAGAATAATATATATAAACCTGAAATTTGTAAAGAAGAAACGAAGTTATATTTTTCCATTAGAACTTTATTGAAATATTCAAGTGTCGCAATTCAAAAATTTTGAAAATAAAATTATTTAATTCTTAATTCGTTATACCTCGTCTATAATTTTATTTGAGACAAGATTCTCTGCTGTTAAATTTTCATTTATTCTATATTTATCGCTATCTTATTTATAAATTGTTACGAGAAATTATACGAAAAATTCGAATCACTTACCGGTCATTTTAACACGTAATCATTAAATTTATGAACTTACATACGTTATCGTTTGAAAACTGACAAATTTTATTAACAAAAATCGATTTTTATAGTGTCTTATCATTAAGGTACTATTTATCTTATCAGATCTAATATATACATACATTCCATTGGATTCGATTGCCGAAATTTTATTTGTTCATCATTATTCTTTCATTTTCTTTATATTTAAAATATGATTTTAAACAAATATTTACATTGAAATGAAATGTATAATTCATCAAATAAAATTCTAATTGTTTTTATTTTAAATAGTTATATATTGTACGTACTACGTTGCTTTATTAGAAAGACACAGAGAATTAGATTTAATATCGTTTTGACAAACTTACTTTTATAGAAATAAAATTTGTTTATTTATTGTTACATTAGAATACGATATTTTTATCATTGAAACAATTTTTCGCGATATTTTTTTTAAAAATTTACTATGATCTATTCGAATTGATCGATAAAAGCATAAGCCAGAGTTATAGATAATGATTTTTTTAGGTAAAAGAATTGTGTCTTAAGATAACAACTCGTAATTTTAAAATCATTTTTAATTTTGTTTAATTTTAAAATTAAAAAAAGAAATTATCATTATATTTCGGTATATATACTCCACGATTAAAGAATAAAAAGAAAATAAGAGATGTATCTAAAGTTGAACAAAGAAGATCTATTTATTTCTTTCAAATAACTTTATTGTACAGATAACAGGTCTCCTATATGACTTAATCCAAATTTATTTATATTGATAAAACAATAAATTTTTCATTGATTTTCAAATATAAAGAAAAGATTATCTAGTTATGATAGAGTTTACTAATTGATAATTTAAAATTAGATTTTTTCTAGTCAAATTTAAACTTTTACTTTATTTTATTCGGGAATTTCGATATCGTTTTTTATCGATCTTTCCTATTTTTATTATATTCTTTTATTCATGCAATTTATAAGTTTACAATTTACATACGTTAATAAAAATATGATACGAAATTGTAAAATATAGCTTTAATTCATAATGAATAAGAAAATGAATGAAAAAACGTGGAAAAATTTGGAAAATTCCGATATAGTATTTGCGTATCATCGTAATAATGATAGGCAAAAATATAATGATTCATATATTTTGTGTATAATGAATTAATATTTATTTCAATAATCATCGATGAAAAATTGTTCAATATTTAATTTCAATTGGTCTGATTAGAAAGATTTCTAATAGAAAATTTCTTTAGAATTTCATAATAATTTAAATTATATAATAATCATTTTCAAAATTAATTCCAACAAATCCAACAAATTAATGAATTAATTGTAATAGAATTTAAATTTTCCACATTAAAAATTTATATATATGTATGAATATTAATTAAATAACATCAATAAATAACACAACAATAATTTCAAATAATTCTTTATATTTTATATAAATTTATTAATTAATGTTTATTACATAATTAAATAAAATATATTTAAATTCAAGAAATAATTTACTAAATATATACTCTAAACTAGTTCATTCTACAAATAATGCATTCTATAAAAATCTATTGATAAATAAAGAATACTCTTGACGTGACTTTTTTTTATTCTTTCTAATTACAATTGAAAATTTATATTTGTTTTCTTATTCGTTGTAATATGTTCTGATATAAAGAACGCAATATTATGTACAATTTTGATGATGCAAGTGAAGAGATTTGGTAGAATTGAATTGCGGATAAATATCGATATATCCTATATCGATTTCTATATCGTTCCAAAATCGTTCATAATAACAAGAATCGATCTCTACTTCATGTTTGAAAATACATATCAATCAAAGTATAATCCTTTGTCACATTTTTGACATGCATGATATTACAATATAGTTACATTCATGAGATAAATTTTCTTTCTTCATTGCGTTCGAATAATTTGCGATAAATTTTGTATGTTCTCAGGTCAATCCTCTGTCCTGGTCATAGTCCATTTACAACATTGTAATGCAATTATGAAGCTATGAAGAATTATATGTGGAATTATAAACTATACATGTTCTGTTGCATGTTATGATTCTGATTTTAGTTTTTTACCACGATAACAATGGACTTGATTAATATTAACACAAATTTCTTTTTCATAATCAAAGTATTTTCCTTCTCCGCAATTTTCGCGGTATTTCATTCCATTTCTGCATACGAAATATTTATCACAGTGGCATTCATGAGGAAGATAATCTTCCTTGGAATTGGAATCGCACGGAAAAGGATCGCACATCAAATTAGCCACGTTTTCTGGCCAGTCGCATGTTTGACTCTTTGGATTGTAGACCTGCTTCTTAGGGCAATTAACAATATAGGGAGATCCATTTTCGCATACGCAATGCTTGTCACAATCTTTATGAAGCAAATATTCCGTGGAATGAAACGACGAGCAAGTACCGATACAACCAATGTCTACTTGGCCAGGACACGTATGACTTTCTACACATATTTTTTTCTTCCGATCAAAGTATTGTCCATTCGGACACGTTTTAAGCACTTGTTGTCCGTCTATGCATTCGTAATATTTATTGCACTGACATTCGTGCTGTTGTTTCTCCCCTTCTTTACATTTCTGTTTACAATCCACGTTATTCGGAAAATCACAAATCTGATTCACACTGTCGTAATAAAAGTGTTCGGGGCATGCCTTTGAAACTTTTTCACCATTTTCACATTGATAATACAGGGAACAATTTTGAGGATCGGGAAATCGAGTAATACAATTGTTGCAACCACATTCCGTGCATTCGGAAGTTGAATTAGAATCGTTAGATGGAGGTCCAATTGGCGAATTGTTACAATTTGTATTCCAGGGTAAGTCGCACGATTCGATTAAAGGGTTGAAGTAATGTCCTTGTAGACACGATTGGAGACGTTTCTTACCGTTATTGCATTCGTAATATAAGGAACATTTTGTTTCATGAGGTATACGTGCATGACCAGTTGGTGGACATTCAGAATTTGCGCGCGCAAAATTATAATTGAACTTTTGCTTTTTGGCACATTTGGCACGATACGGATAATCGCAAACTTCTCGAACGTAATCGTAAATCAGACCGTTCGGACATGTTTCACGAAGCAATTGTCCATCGTTGCACTCGTAATAAATGGCACAAGAGCATTCGTGGGGAAATTTCACAGCTTTCTCCTCTGATCCCTTCGGCGGACATTTTCGACTAATAACCTCCTCGATCGCATTGGGTGTAGCCTTCTTTGGTTTTAACAATTTCGAAGAGCACATGCTACTCGGTGGCCAAGTGCACATGGAACGTTCCTCGTTGTAAGACAATCCAAAGTCGCAAACTTTCTTGCTTTTCACGCCATTCTTGCATACGTAATACGAACTGCAATCGAATTTGTCGGGAATATATGCGATACCGGTTGCAGGACAATCGTTGGTTGTAGTCGTCGCGTTGCATCCCACGTTTTGAGATAAAACGCATTTCCCAGTTTCAACATCGAAATCTTTACCTTTCTGGCAATGTTTTTCTATGAATTCTCCTTCGATGCATTCGTAATATAGAGATTGACATTTGCATTCGTGGGGCAAGAATACAGGACCAAATTTACCATTTGGGCATGTATTCTGATAAACGTTACACGTCGCCTTCTCCTTAGCCACGCATTTCATACTTTTAGAATCGAACAGCTCTCCTTCTTTGCACGAGTTTTCAACTTTTTCACCGTTCGTGCATACGTAGTATAAACTGCAGTTGTAAGGATGGGATTGTACGTAACCATCCGTAAAACAATCGAACGCTTGGGATACGCATTTCGATTTCCATGGTAGAATGCAAGATTGAGATACAACGTCAAAATATTTCTTATGGCCTGGTATAAATACTGGACAATCCATAGATTGTTTTTGTCCGTTGAAGCACTTGTAATATTTGGTACAATCGTATTCGTGAGCGAGCAATGTGGTTTCGTTCAACGAATTTGGACATTCCGTTGGAATCTCGTACGTTTCTGCAGAAACAAAACTTGTCACCGCGACAAAAACGGCAACTGCGACTGCCATCAATAATTCTGAAATTTAGAAAAATAAAAATAGATTATTTTATAAACTTTATTCCAGCATATAAACTATTCATTAAACTTATTATGACCTATTTCTCAATTATCGTTATCGTTTATTTTTCTAATCTTTTAAAAAATAATCACGGATTAAATTACTCACTTGTCATTATGAAAAAAATAATTCTTATAATTTAAAAACGAACAAAACTCTCTCTAACGTTGCTTATTTAAAAAAAAAAAACTAGACAAATTAAAGATAAAAACTGACTTTTATACTTATTGAGATGTTATCATCATCAAGATATTAACTTTCTCTGTTCGATACTTTAATCTGTGTTTGATTTAGGCAATCGATATACTCTCATGTAATCATGCCCTCAAGATTAAATTTTTTGATTGTTTTTAAATAATTTTTGTTACTCATTTTTATTATTATTTATTACTCATATTTCAAAAAATTAATCCTGAATATTATATGAATTATATTATATATATATATATGTAAATATATATATATATATAATTTTAATATTTTAATATTAATGATTTTTTGCAATTCGAGAGAATTGTAACTGATAATGAAAATTTGAAAAATATCTAGAAATATTATTATAATTTCTGTGATATGAAGAAAAAAAATATAAGTTTTTTTAAAGGTTTAAAAGGTTAAGAAGAATGGCTAATAATAGATGTAAAAGACATTTCTAATAAATAAAGTTATATATTGGAAAATAAAATCATGACGCAATTTAATCGCAAAATATTTTCCTGAATAAAAAAAAAATATTATTCATTGTAACCATTTTCCATTTATTTAAATATATTTTCTATTTTTTTCTTAATTTGCGAAATTGTTTTTTTTTAATAACATTCAATCGAAAAATAAATTATATTTAAATAGAAAATAAATTATGTATTATATTTGTCTTAAAACTTTTTTTTTGTTTTTATATATAGAAAAGATTAGAATCAAATTAGAACAAATCCCAATTCTATTTTTTCCGTTCGAAGGCATATTTCCGATCATGATAAAGTTACTCTTCTGATGCGCAACAGATAATCACCATTGCAATATAATCTTCATTATGAACCAAATTACTTGTGAATTTATCAATGGTGGATAAAAACATTCGATATTCGAAACATAACAACAATCGATCACGTAGTTGCATAAAATGTTTCACAAATGCAACGCTAGTGTCTCTGGCATCGCTGAATCAGTGGTACATGCTTCGTCGCGCTCTCTCAAAAATAACGATCCAATAAGAAGCGTGTAAACAATGGTTGGAAGGCATGCGATTGGCGGCGTTGTCGCCAAGTCAGGTCAGAGCAGCCAATCGGAATAGATAAATTTTGATCCAGCGGAAAATGCATTGGTCGTCCTTTCCCCCCACCAGTGACGGCGGCTCGGCTCATATTCAGTAGACTCGGCCATTTCTCTCGCGAAGCGTAGTTATTTGCTCGGCCGCGACATTTTTTTCCGTAAAACCGTGCGGGTATTCCCGTAAGCTTTGCAAAATAACGCGACGCAAAAGGATGATACACTCCGGGCGCACCAGGCTCGAGGTAAGTCAATGCATCGTTTGACAGTAAATGAGTTTGCTATGAAACGCGCGTCAAAGTCACTACGGGGGGGTCGTGCGTGTGTCCAATGTTGTCATTGCCGAGGCGAACAGCTGATCCGCTCCCCTGGCCTCCGCAATGCTTGGCAACATTTTCTCGCTCGGTTCTCGATCTTCTGCCATGACGACGAACTGCGAAAGCCAATAGTGAACAGTACGTTTCGATGATGCGTCGTTCATGAAGAGTTAAAGGAGTTCTTACTTTTAGATCGCTACCATTTCGCGTATATCTCCCTTCTCGCTCTCCTTCCTTCTATTTGCCTCTCTATCATGTTCTTACTCTTTCTCTTTCTGTGTCTCTATTTCTGTCTCTTTTTCTCTCTCTCATTTAGCGTCTCTGTTTCTCTGATCGACCAACCAAACCAGGCAACTCCATCCTTTGTTCTTCTTTCTTTTTGTACCTTGGTGCGTTCCCTTTCAGTTTCTTCGTCTTCGACTTCGTTAAGCTCATCGTCAGCATCGCCGTTACTTTTATCGCAGATCATCCTGATTATGTATTGCATACAACAATACATTCGAATAATGTTTTCTTCTCACATTTTGTGTATTATCTTTTTTGTTTGTTTTATTGTTATCGTCATCATTTTTATCAGAATTGTTGTTATTCTGGCAATTAATACAATTATTTTGATCTATCTTCGATAGTTGCATTGTATACAAACTTGAGGAATATCGTTGTTGTCAACGAGGTCTGTCCCCTCCTCTCTCTCTCTCTGTCTGTCTCTCTCTCTCTCTCTCTCTCTCTCTCTCTCTCTCTCTCTT